AAGGAAGGCAATAGATTAAAGTTGATTTGAGATAAAGACAGTTGCGGTAGATACTTATTTCTTAGATTTTCATATACAGAACAAATAAACATAAAATGGAATTCGTCTTCAATAATGAAACAGAATGGACATAATCTTTGGTTTTTTTCCATAGAAACATATCTCCCAAGGTTAATTAATGAATCAATAATGCGTCATCTACACTGTTTCTCTTCATACTGCATCATCTACATAGTTTCTCTTCATGCTGAATCATCTACATAGTTTCTCTTCATACTTCGTCATCTACACTGTTTCTCTTCATACTGCGTCATCTACACTGTTTCTCTTCATACTGCATCATCTACATAGTTTCTCTTCAAGCTGCATCATCTACATAGTTTCTCTTCATACTGCGTGATCTACACAGTTTCTCTTCATATTGCATCATCTACATAGTTTCTCTTCAAGCTGCATCATCTACATAGTTTCTCTTCATACTGAATGATCTACACAGTTTCTTTTCATATTGCATCATCTACATAGTTTCTCTTCATACTGCATCATCTACATAGTTTCTCTTCATGCTGCATCATCTACATAGTTTCTCTTCATGCTGCGTCATCTACATAGTTTCTCTTCATGCTGTCATCTACATAGTTTCTCTTCATACTGCATCATCTACATAGTTTCTCTTCATGCTGCATCATCTACATAGTTTCACTCCATACTGCATCATCCACATAGTTTCTCTTCATACTGCATCATTTACATAGTTTCACTCCATACTGCATCATCTTTATAGTTTCTCTTCCTACTGCATCATCTACATAGTTACTCTTCATGCTGCATCATGTGCATAGATTCTCTTCATACTGCGTCATCTACATGGATTCTCTTCATACTTCATCATCTACATAGTTACTCTTTAAACTGCATGATCTACATAGTTTCACTCCTTACTGCATTATCTACATAGTTTCTCTTCATACTGCATCATCTACATAGTTACACTTCATGCTGCATCATCTACATAGTTACTTTTCATACTGCATCATCTACATAGTTTCACTTCATACTGCGTCATCTACATAGATTCTCTTCATGCTGCATGATCTACATAGTTTCTCTTCATACTGCATCATCTACACAGTTTCTCTTCATGCTGCATCATCTACACAGTTTCTCTTCATGCTGCATCATCTACATAGTTACTCTTCATGCTGCATTATCTACATAGTTTCACTTCATACTGCGTCATCTACATAGTTTCTCTTCATACTGCATCATCTACATAGTTTCACTTCATACTGCGTCATCTACATAGATTCTCTTCATGCTGCATCATCTACATAGTTTCTCTTCATGCTGCATCATCTACATAGTGTCTCTTCATACTGCGTGATCTACATAGTTTCTATTCATGCTGCATTATCTACATAGTTACTCTTCGTACTGCGTCATCTACATAGTTTCTCTTCATGCTGCATCATCTACATAGTTTCTCTTCATGCGGCATTATCTACATAGTGTCTCTTCATACTGCATCATCTACATAGTTACTCTTCATGCTGCAATATCTATATAGTTACTCTTCATACTGCGTCATCTACATAGTTTCTATTCATGCTGCATTATCTATATAGTTACTCTTCGTACTGCGTCATCTACATAGTTTCTCTTCATGCTGCATTATCTACATAGCTTCTCTTCATACGGCGTTATCTACATAGATTCTCTTATACTGTGTCGTTTACAGGGCTGCGCAATATAACCGCTTTACCGGTATTTACCGTTTTTAACACGAAATCGATACGTATTGCGATACGCCGATCGAAAACCGGTATTTCGACATGCATTCGGGAAACTTCGTAACACTCGCAATCTTCGGATATTTCCGTTTTTCACACCGGAAGCCAAGTTAAATTCGGTTTGAAGTTGTGTTCTCAATTTGTTTTCGCAATGTTTTGGATGTGAATGTTTTACATATTTACCCATTAATGACCATGGTTTCTCTTCATGCTGCATCATCTACATAGTTTCTCTTCATACTGCATCATCTACATAATTTCTTTTCATACTGCATCATCTACATAGTTTCTCTTCATACTGCATCATCTACATAGTTTCAATCCATACTGCATCATCTACATAGTTTCTCTTCATACTGCATCATCTACACTGTTTCTCTTCATACTGCATCATCTACATAGTTTCTCTTCATACTGCGTCATCTACATAGTTTCTCTTCATGCTGCATCATCTACATAATTTCTCTTCATACTGCATCATCTACACTGTTTCTCTTCATACTGCATCATTTACATAGTTTTTCTTCATACTGCATCATCCCCATCGTTTCTCTTCCTACTGCGTCATCTACATAGTTTCTCTTTATACTGAAATTCTACCCCGTTTCTTTTCATACTGAAATTCTACCATGTTTCTCTTCATGCTGAAATTCTACACAGTTTTTCTTACTGGACAGTCTACACTGTTTCTCTCCATACTGCACAATTAACACTGTTTCCCTTCATGCTGCAGTCTTCACTGTTTCTCTGCATACTGAAATTCTACACTGTTTTTCTTCTTACTGCACAATCAACACTGTTTCTCTTCGTGCCGCAGTCTACACTGTTTCTCTTCATACTGAAATTCTACCCCGTTTCTCTTCATGCTGAAATTCTACACTGTTTTTCTTCTTACTGGACAGTCTACACTGTTTCTCTCCATACTGAAATTCTACACTGTTTTTCTTCTTACTGCACAATCAACACTGTTTCTCTTCATACTGAAATTCTACCCCGTTTCTCTTCAAACTGAAATTCTACACTGTTTTTCTTCTTACTGCACAATCAACACTGTTTCTCTTCATGCTGAAATTCTACACTGTTTTTCTTCTTACTGAAATTCTACCCCGTTTCTCTTCCAACTGAAATTCTACACTGTTTTTCTTCTTACTGCACAATCAACACTGTTTCTCTTCATGCTGCAGTCTACACTGTTTCTCTTTATACTGAAATTCTACCCCGTTTCTCTTCCAACTGAAATTCTACACTGTTTTTCTTCTTACTGGACAGTCTACACTGTTTCTCTTCCAACTGAAATTCTACACTATTTTTCTTCTTACTGGACAGTCTACACTGTTTCTCTTCATGCTGAAATTCTACACTGTTTTTCTTCTTACTGGACAATCAACACTGTTTCTCTTCATGCTGAAATTCTACACTGTTTTTCTTCTTACTGGACAGTCTACACTGTTTCTCTTCCAACTGAAATTCTACACTGTTTTTCTTCTTACTGCACAATCAACACTGTTTCTCTTCATACTGAAATTCTACACTGTTTTTCTTCTTACTGGACAGTCTACACTGTTTCTCTCCATACTGAAATTCTACACTGTTTTTCTTCTTACTGGACAGTCTACACTGTTTCTCTTCATACTGAAATTCTACACTGTTTTTCTTCTTACTGGACAGTCAACACTGTTTCTCTCCATACTGAAATTCTACACTGTTTTTCTTCTTACTGGACAGTCTACACTGTTTCTCTTCATACTGAAATTCTACACTGTTTTTCTTCTTACTGGACAGTCAACACTGTTTCTCTTCATACTGAAATTCTCCCCCGTTTCTCTTCCAACTGAAATTCTACACTGTTTTTCTTCTTACTGCACAATTAACACTGTTTCTCTTCATGCTGCAGTCTACACGGTTTCTCTGCATACTGAAATTCTACATTGTTTTTCTTCTTCATATTGAATAATCTACACTGGCTATGGTCTTACTGCACGCACACTAGTTATCTATTAATCAACCATCTACACCGATCACCACCTTACTTCATCATCAACGCTGGTTGTCCCCACACTGCTTTAACTACTCTGTTCGTTCACCGTACTCTATCATCCACAGTGATGATCTCCATACAACATCATCTACATTTCCCCTTCTACAAATACTTCAGCTATTCGTTTGATGTTTTGGTATTTTAGTCTTTTATAAGAAAGAACTTTTATAAGAAAGACCAATGAAAATGGGAAAGGGGAAAAGGAAGTGAAAATTAAGTTTGAGTCATTTAATATCATGATATAATTAAAGATAGGTCGTTGTGCTTCATGTAATACACCTCTATGTAATACTTGTAAGTGTCACAGACACATCCCCCTTGTGTAAGTCGCCTGCAGTGGGGATAAATTACATGGTACTATCCTAGATGCTAGTATGTCGTTGCACTTTGCTTATTTACTGGGGACGCTTTATGACTTGAATATTGCTGACTTCGGTATATAATTACTTGCGCATATTCGCCTGATTTACTTGTGTGTCTGTCCATGAACAAACAACAAGATTGTACAATCATGATGAGCATAAAACTACATATTTAACACATCACATACACATATCAACCCCAACACCACCTATATTATACATACCGAAACAAAAATACTTCAAATAATCCTTGTGGATCATGTTTATATACAAAGACCTCTGACTTGTCCGGACACCCTCTTATCCGGGAATGTCGCATTATGGACGAAATTCACATGGACGCTGGATAAAAGTGATATTTCTATGCAACCTTTTAATCTAGAAAATTTTGTTAATCCGTTCAATTCAGTTAACGCTAACGTTAGTTCAGATGGTTTCACTCTACACAAGACAAAGGGTTCTTAGTTTAACTTACTTGCGCTTTTCTTTTGCGGACATCCTGATGAATGTCGGCTGTGTTTAGCACAGCAAAATAAGTACATAGCATTTATACTGACGTAACACCGACAAACGCTGTGATCAACACCAGGTGGTTGCATTCGAAGGACACACCTTTTCGATCATGAACGTGAAACTGTAAAAAACATTGAAATATCCTAACCCACATAACGGAGGCTGCATTAAACAGAAACATGCAAAATGGAATCCTGATTCCGGAATTGACCTACGACTAGGGTAGGAAATTAGTATTTTACTGATAAAATTATGAATATTAAAGCTGTGATTGGAAGTCAGGAGTGAGAACAGCATCAAACGACAGTGCCGCGGGAACCCATTCCAACTGTATAGGAGCGGAGGGATATGTTCAGTCGAATGTTGCCGGAGCCGACGCTGAACTAGCCGATCGATATGCCTCACAGACGATAACTCAATAGCGGTGGATAGGTGGGAGAGTCTATGTGTAGCTGATACATCGGACATCCCCTTGTACAGCCACTGACCGATCGTCAATTCCATGAATATCTACATAGCCAAAGCGCTGGCATCATCCCCGCGCTGATCCGACGGTATTGGAGAAAATACAGAGCGAGCGGCGTTCAGCATTATCACGCTACCTGCCACCCCTCTAGCCTCAGTAAGAGTGATCGATGCCTGTGCCACTTGCATTCTCTCCGTGTGTCTGCCGGGTTTCTAAGAACGGTTAACATTTCATTGTACAGTAAAGCTGTTTCTGCTATTTCTAACAACAGCGATGGCGTGATGGTATAATGGACAGCAAGCCATCTGGTAACGACCTTGCTGGGATGGCAGAGGGATTTTAGAAGTGATCGTCTGCTGTGAAGAAATGGCGGCAAGCTTGTACAGGAGGAAAGACGAAGGTGAGGCTGGACGAACCATTCCATGTCGCTTCCTCCGAGTCGCTACATCAGCGCTGCCGGTACTGAGTTCACATTCTATGCCGCGAATGTGATGAAGTTGCCACTGATGTATCTATCAAGATAATAAGCTCAATCCTACTGTAACGGCCATTTTCTCGGAGGCGCGTGGGAAAAGAAGCGAGTGGAATGATATGTCCCAATTTCCATGGCGTGAGGCTGTGTTGGGAGGGATATAGATTCCACCACGATGGTTGTCGACGTTGTTCACATTGCTGTCTGGGCTGTATACGCGTGTGTGCAATTTCTTCTTCTTACTTCCGCCCGTGTAGCGCCTGATCTACCAAAAATTGGATCCTCGTCCTATCGGCAGGTGCCCCACTATGAAAACTACCGATTCCCGGAAGATTTTAAGCGTTCCCTACGCTCTCAAGGGGAGATAACCTACTCCACCCTCCCTAGTGCTACCCCAGGGGATCACCATTCTGTCCCCACAGCTACTGAAGTCCTTGAGTACATTGACGATGTTCAACGAGTTAACGAATGGTGTGCAAATAAAAAGGAAAAGTACAATCCAGTGGAGAAGTATGTATTCCCTGCCAAGTCTTTCTCCAAACCCTTCCGGGAACAGATGAAAAAGGCCGTCGCCTTATCCAACACGCTCAATGCTTATTTCATGTACCCTGATGTTAAAAACAGCCAACTGAATGAAGATATATATTTTGCCTTAACGCAATCAGTAGTTGAGAACGACAACAAACTAATCGGCTGTGGCATAGCCTTCGACAAGGGACAGAATCCATCTAACTCCACACAGTTCTTTCCTTATACCTACAAACCTGGGAAACAAACAAACAAAGTGGTAGCATCAGATCTAGGTAAAAATTACCTATACTCGACAACGTCTTGGTTCGGAACGCTTAAACGCAAGAAAACTCAGTCAAAACGTACGACGGATTTTATTTTTGCGGAAAAAAGTGATGTTGGGAAGTACAAGATTTACGACTACCGCCGGAACTTCACTGTCAAAGTGTCGGAGAATGACGGGTTTCTGGGCAAACCGTACTTCGACTGTAAACTTCAAAGATGGGTCATACAGTATTCTGTACCATTCTATCAAACGTTTGATAACGATTCACCAACATTCAAGTAAGTACTGTGATTGTGTTTTGTACCCATGTATTGTACCATGACGGCAAAGCATTTTGAATCAGTCTGTATTTCCGTGGCAACATGGCGGAATCATTTCGTAAACAGTTCCAATTGATAAGCAAGTTTTTATGTACACTATAAATTATGCCGAGAATGCAGTAGAGCGTAGTGAACAGCTGGCCACATGTAGTCGGATATTGTTCAATGCAGATATATGATTATTCACCAACAATAGAGCTGAGCCAGATATTTAGACACAAGTCGCTACGTAATGTATGAATATATAACGTATCTAATTACGTTCCGTTGTATCATTCTAATCATGCAGTTTGCGATGATATATGAAGCGACATCTGAAACCCTTTTGGCGGCTGTCACGTCTACTTTGCCCTCACATGACCTTGAACTACATTTGCCTTGGAGCTTTGTTTCCTCCTGAGTTACTTGCTGCCATCTTAAGTCTGCAGGATTATCAAACCGTACAGGGCATGAACGATAATTTATGTCACCTGTTTCAGAACAAAGTGTTTACATCGCATGATACCTGTGTACAGATAGGCATTTGGCGTGTAAAACAGAATACACTTATTGAACAAGCAAATGAACATCGTTTTACCGACAATCTGATGCCTTCAGGCCTAAAACAATCAAGCCACGATACATAAGACAACTGACGAATTGCATGACATCTCATTGCATTATTGACGAGAATGCATTAGATTACGCCTCACTGTAACCTATGCAATTCACGATAACGTTGCTTGTAATGGTATGAAAATAACTAGGCCTGATTGCCATTATCAAATATATAACAAATTCCCTATTAAGAAAGCCATATGCCATAGCGACCCCCTCGAGTACACTACATAACATCGGTCCACAATGCCAGAGCAGCCTTTGCCCTCGATGCATTAATTATATATTGTCCCTACAGTTACTGTCACCTGTGTAGTTGTCATGTTTATGTGTCACTTTGCACCATCCGCCTTTCAAGAAGAGTGAATACTAGCGATGAACACGTCCACAGAACACGCTGATATCATAGCCAACAGTCGTAATACAATCTTGTTCACAGACTTTAGTAATAGCGACTTAAAAACCTTACAGTACAGCAGATACAAGCATACTATGCAATGGTTAAAATATTTCTACATGTTGACGTTACTACCATCAGTGTGGACTCATTGAAGTGTAGGTATCGATACACTAATCCTCTGTTGCTCTTGACACATTTTCATTTTAAACAAATATGGCGACCCCCATGATGCTTTGGGAGCGCGTGAATAGATAAAGAGGAAGCTATGTCAATACGAGTACTCAACAAAATTATGTCACAGAATAATATTTGACAAGTTTAGCAGATATTATCAAGTATTGTAACTGCTATCTGAAGACCATTTGACCAGTGGTTAACAGAAGAAGATGTTTGAAGTTGTCTCAATATAAAATCCAATATGGCGGAAGAATAGATCGTCTTAGATTCTCCATGTGTGTTAATGGGGAGCATCGCGGCGGTGATGTAGAATGGTTTGACAGAAGTGGGAATGCCAGCTGATGAATTATACATTTTCGTGACACTTTGTAATAATGTGACCATAGCAATACCAAGCGGTTAAGCTAGTTTGTGGTATTCAGTGTAGGAATGATTGAGCCTTATTGAGTTTGTGACGGGAGAAAATATGCTTAATACGACTGCTTGTTATTAGTAAGGACATGTATAAATCATCAAATAATAGCTTTGGCATAAAGGTTTCAACCATTTCAACCATGCAAAATAAAAGGTGGAATATTAAGTAAAATAGTTTCTTTCTCATACGACGTTTTAATGCTTCGACCTTGAAGAATATTCATGACTATGTTCCAAATACCAAATACATCCACTGAATCGACCCCCTTGGCTTCATATTCAGAACGAGAAATGTTTATTGGTCTCAAACGAATATGGTATGCACAGATACAAGACGTTTAACATTAAATAAGAAAACCCCCAGACCAAACTAAACCAAAACAAACCTCATTCTGGTGCACACCATATAAAAACGGATACATACTTAGACACACATATATACACAATAGGTATGTATATAGTTACATACCTTCATACCAAGCAGGCATACACATCAGTGACACACTTTCCTTCTTGGAAGATGGCCACATGGCATACATACCATTTACAGGTCTTCATGCTCAGTAGATACAAGTAGCATTCCATGCCAATTACATGTCTTTACACTTGGTTGGTACAAGGAGACATACATACTAGTTATAGGTTGTCATACTCTGTATGCATATATATCAGTTACATGTCCTCACAGTAGGTAAGTACAACTAAGCTTGCGTCTAGTTCAAGCTCGTTTTATTCGATGTGATACAAGTAGGCATACCCTTTTTGGGTAGATAACAGGCGGCATGGATACTAGTTTCACAACGTCATATCCGGTAGATACGCCAAGATGTGTTCACATTCGGTAAACATAAGCATGTTCTATATAGTTACACGCGTTCACAGGTACATTACAAGAATGTATCCATTGTAGGCACAAGAATATATACGTTGCAGGTACAGGAACAACTATGTATCCATTGCAGGTACAAGCATCGATACACTGCAGCGACAAACATCCATACATTGCAAATACAGGTATATGTACATGACATGCACAAGTATGTATGCACTTACACATTGCAGGTTTAAGTATATATGCATTGCATGTACAATTATAATACATTGCCGACACAAGAATATATACATTGAAGAAGACACAAGTGTATAGAAATTGTAGATACATGTATCCGTACATTGCAGTCACAAGTATCCACTCATTGGAGATATAAGTGTTTATACATTGCAGGTGCAAGTATATAAACATTGACGTATTTATACATTGAGGTTCTTGAGAGGCAAATAGAAGTTGGTATTCAAGTATAAGACAAAATATTATGGCTGTCAACTTCTTCTCTATTGTATACACAACGTTTCTGGGCTTTTCCTTGGCCCTTTTCACCTGTCGTTGACATGCGTATTAATTTGTCGTATACTATATATATATAATGCAGGTACAAGTATGTATACATTAAAAGTACAGGTACAAGTACAAATACATTGCAGACAGAAGTTTCCACCCATTGCAGGTACAAGTGTTTATACATTGCAGGTAAAATTATCCACGTTGTAGGAACAAGTATATATACATTGCAGATACACATATCCATACATTGCTTATACACGTGTATATACATTGCATGTACAGGTACAAATATATATGCAACGTAGGCACCAGTATATATACATTGCAGACACAAGTAGAAGTGTATATACATTGCCGGTACAAACATTCACACATTGCAGGTACAGGTACAAGTATATACACATTGCAGGTACAGGTATCCACACATTTCAGGTACAGGTATCCATACATTGCAAGTACAAGCATATACTCATTGCAGGTACAGGTACACGTATATACTCATTGCAGGTACAGGTATCCACACATTGCAGGTACAAGCATATACTCATTGCAGATACAGGTACACGTATATACACATTGAAGGTACAAGTATCCCACACATTGCAGGTACAAGTATCCACACATTGCAGGTACAAGCATATACTCATTGCAGATACAGGTACACGTATATACACATTGAAGGTACACGTATCCACACATTGCAGGTACAGGTACAAGCATATACTCATTGCAGATACAGGTACACGTATATACACATTGAAGGTACACGTATCCACACATTGTAGGTACAGGTACACGTATATACTCATTGCAGGTACAGGTATCCATACATTGCAGGTACAAGTATCCCACACATTGCAGGTACAAGTATCCACACATTGCAGGTACAAGCATATACTCATTGCAGGTACAGGTACACGTATATACACATTACAGGTACAAGTATCCACACATTGCAGGTAAGGATACAAGAATATACAAAAATATACACATTCGAGGTACAGGTACACGTATATACTCATTGCAGGTACAGGTATCCACACATTGCAGGTACAAGTATCCATACATGGCAGGTACAGGTATCCATACATTGCAGGTACAGATATCCATACATGGCAGGTACAAGTATCCATACATGGCAGGTACAAGTATCCATACATGGCAGGTACAAGTATCCACACATTGCAGGTACAGGTACACGCATATGCACATTGGAGGTACAGGTATCCATACATTGCAGGTACAATTATCCACACATTGCAGGTACAGGTACACGTATATACTCATTGCATGTACAGGTATCCATACATTGCAGGTACAAGTATCCACACATTGCAGGTACAAGTATCCACACATTGCAGGTACAAGTATCCATACATGGCAGGTACAAGTATCCATACATTGCAGGTACAAGCATATACTCATTGCAGCTACAGGTACACGTTTATACTGATTGCAGGTACAAGTATCCATACATTGCAGGTACAGGTATCCATACATTGCAGGTACAAGTATGCACACATTGCAGGTACAAGCATCCAGATATTGCAACTACAGGTACAAGTATCCACACATTGCAGGTACATGTATCCTCACATTGCAGATACAGGTACAAATATATGTACCTTGCAGGTACAAGTGTAAACACATTGCAGGTACAAGTATATATAACTTGCAGGTACAGTTATCCACACAGTACTGGTACAAGTATATAAACCTTGCACGGACAGGTATCCACACATTTCAGGTACAAGTATATGTACCTTGCAGGTACAAGTATATGTACCTTGCAGGTACATGTATCCACACGTTGTAGGTACAGGTATATATACCTTTCAGGTACAGGTATCCACACATTGTAGGTACAAGGATATATATCTTGCTGGTACAGGTATCCACACAGTACTGGTACAAGTATATGTACCTTGTCGGTATAAGTACAAGTATCCACACATTGTAGGTACAGGTATATATACCTTGCAGGTACAGGTATCCACACATTGCAGGTACAAGTATATATATCTTGCA